AAATTTTTTATCTTATTTGAAAGAGTGATTCGAGAAAAATACTGGACTACTGGGGTTTTAATTAAATCCTACAGTATGAGAAAAAGCACATACCATCTGCTTGGCTATTTGCTTTTTGCGGCGCCGTTTGTGAAGGTACTTGCTGATGAACTACTGGATGGACTACATCGTCATCACTTCCTAGATATTCATGCGCTGAAGAGGATGAATCAGATACATCGATGCGGGCCTCATTGTTGAAGTTGAGTACGTTGCTCCTCTTCGGGGAAATACTTGGTGGGTCAGGGAAATTTTTGTAGACCAATTTCCCTGACCCATTAGCCGCCAATTTGCTTTGAGATTTTTTATGGTGCTTCCTCGTCTCTTTCCTGCTACCTTCAGCATCGGTTTCACTGGTGGAATCTTCTCCCGGCAACTTTAGATTTTTTCGTTTCCTGCTTCTTTTTTTCTGAGTAACGACAGTATCGTCGGAAAGATTCGATTGAACTTCAGCTATGTGAACTTTTTCCATTGCTTCATGGTATGTTTCTGCAATCATAATGAGAAAGACTATTGAGATGGGGGGGGGTATTTTTCATTTTTAAGAGATTTTAGAAATTTAAAGGTAAAGAAAGTGCGGAGATTGAAAATTTCAAGCATTAAGTTACTATCATTGTAAGTTCCTGGACTTTTCCTGCTCCCAGGCTTTTTCTAAAAACACTTCTAATAAGCTACTGAACGATTTAAGGTTGAGGCACTAACTCTCAAAAATTTTCACTTCACTTTTCATTGTCATTTCGATTTATGTATTAATAATGTGTGACTGATATTTTTTGCAAGTGTTTTAACGATTTAAAGAAAATGCCATATTTTGTAGGGATTTGAGTTGACAAATGAGACTGTAGTGATTAATTTCTTCTTAAAATGTTTTCTATTCACTTGTTTAGAAGTGACTGCAATGACAACAATACACTGCTGTTACCTAAATGCGCAAAACTCAGATACTTACTGTATTTTCCCAACACTTTAATAGGATTTTCTGTCCATGTTTTGGTGTCGACCTGAGCACATCTTTTAACAAGGGAATTTTTGGTTTCGTCCGAAGTGACATTTGGATACCAGGATGCAGTATCGTTATTAATTATCCACATTGTTGGAACAACATCGATTGCATCATTTTCTTCTGTGAATTTGACGACAGCAAACAATTCTGTCATGATGGCTATCTGCAAAAACAAGATTTCATGAGGCATTGAAATACAGTGCGAAAGAAGGAAGAAAATTAGGCTTGGCTTTATAGGTAGCTGATGTTTTAACATCTTACTAGCTACGTTAGAGAACTAATACTTAAGGGGAAAAATTGATGCTGAGAAATTAGGATATAAGTTTAAATATGAATCAGGGAAGTAGCAGATAGCATAATTTTCTTTTACTGGCCTTCGTAAATATATTTTAACCCTGAAGAATTTTCAAATAGGGCGAAGTAAATATAGGTATTTCATTTTTTTTTCTCTTACAGAAGGGGTAGCTGGTTAAATGTCTCGGAAATTCTTTTAATTTACCTACTCTTAAAAAAATGTAAGGAAAATTTAAAAATGTGAGGGTAAGAACTTCATGCTCCCCTGGACTGCAGAATGAAATTCGTTATTTGTAAGATGTAAGTAAAGAAACACTCCTCAATGGGAGCATAACTTACTAGCATAAAATTTACTGATTGGCGGCTCTGGAATTTCCACAAATAGTAGATATCTCGGACTCTTGTTTCTTATTTATCCGCTGCTGTAACAGTTAGTTGGACATATTTTAAAAATAACATGTTTCTAGACATCTGTTACTACAAAGGACGCCTCATACAGAAGACATAAACTAAATGAGTGATGATATGTCTTTGACTTACGATTACTATAAATCATAAAATTATACTATATTAACTTATACTTCTACTTTCCTCCAGATGTAATAAATATATAAGGAGATCATAAAATTACAATGAATAATCTTAGGAACTTTAATACTTTTCTCAAGGTCAGATTAAAAATGTTGTTCTTAATTTAATGTGAGGGACTGAATTTTTTTTGGCAAGAAATATATATGAAACTTTCAGAGAATAGATGGGCACAGTTATAGAAAATTGTAAAAATACCTCGAAATACCTGTACCTCGAAAAGGTACCGCTGGACAAATGATACCAACTTAAAAAATTTAGAAAATGCACCAAAATGCCTAAAAAAATTGGTAAAAATTTTTTTTGCTTCTTACGTATTTAATACTACAGAGAAAATGTTTAAAGGAAAAGAAACAATTGTCGGTATTTCTAAGAAAGAACTGAACTGAAATTCATTAATCTGTTTACTCTATAATCCTTCCTGCTTCCTGAGACACCGAAATACCGAGTGACCCTGAGAAAATACTTAAGCATCAAATTCCAACAATGGAATGCACACATTTTTATTTTGAAAAGGTAACAATACTACCTTCTCCGAGATATCAGTTAAAGGCCAGGAGGTAAGAGTAGGTTCAAGTTCATCTAATACATGAATCCCTAGAAGTGAACTACTACATAAGGGTTCTGGGAAAAAATTCTCATAAGAATTGAATTTTTGTCCTATTATGATTGGTTGATCTTGGGACAGGAGAGGAATTACAATATTTCTGACAATAATCACACTTCCATCAATCAATGAGAAACTATAATCAGGACTATCGATCCCAATTTTAAAATTAGGCAATTTCAGAACTTTGAACTGCATGCCATTGCAATCGGGTAACGTCGGACCAGAAGAATGCTCACGGATGGCTTCAAATGAAAACGGAGAATGGTTAGTAGGAGCATTGTGAAACCATTGCCCACTTCGAGTGAATTCTTCTAGCCGAGAACAAGTTTGGTGCAGTGGCTTAGCGGGTTTTCGAGTAAGTTTCTTTAAGGAATACAAGGCATTCTCAATTTTGAAAGCTGAGCATTCATCCATCGTTGTAAAGCGATTTAAGTTAAGAGGTAAATGCCGCAAATTATGCATGTTGGAGGTTAAAAATTCTAAACCGTACAATCTTTCGCTGTCTTTGGAAAATTCTTCAATTAATGACTCAGCATATTTTGAGTAGCGTCTAGCATACTCTGGACTAAGGAGAATCCTCATAATTACATGGAGCATTAAGAAATTAAAATAAATTTGCGGATAGTCATTTTCTAACTCTTTCAGAGCAATGATACCAGTGTACAACAACAGGGTTCGAAACTCGGTGGCCTTCCATCGTCGGATTTCATTCATTGACCGACCCTTTCGATTGAACTCACAGGGCATGTAAGACGAAAGAAAAACCAAGTTTTTAGAAATGCCATCAATTATACGGAACGGAAGCTTCTTAGGTTGCTTGGCAAAAATCCAAATATAAGTTAATGACCTAACGATTCCAAGAAACACAATATGCATAACATCCAATGGAAAGGAATTTATGAAATCTATGTCAGGCAATTCCATCAGGGGGGTTTCACCCAACTGATAGTCTTCATCATCCATTTTCACAAATTCCTCATGAGTACGTAACTTTATTTTTTTATTGGAGGGAAAAGTCATCCGATTCATGTAATCTTGGCCGTCTGCTTTACATTTGGTGCAGGACCTGTAGCCTCTATGACCCTTCGTGTTCATAATATAAGCTTTCCCAGGAGTATCACAAATGAAACCTTCAATGATGATTTTTATTTGAGAACTACCTACAATTAATCCGTTTTTAATCAACTTGGTTGCTTCCTCAACAAATCTCTTAAGAAACTTTGACACTGCCGCCTTTTTCGGCCCATAATAGATACCAACTGGTAGAACAACTTTTTTTAGAGATTCAATATCCAAGAAAGAAATCATGATAGGGATCATCCCACTTGGGACTGACTTGAAGATGGGAATTTCATCAATTCCGACAACTAATCTAAAGGTAGACACTTTTTCTTTGATGGCTGCTAAGACACGTCTTAAAGTAGACTCTAAACCGATATGATGGTAAAGACCAGAATCCATTTCCTCATAATCTAATTTTCTAGGTGTTTGAAGAAATGTTTTATCCGATTTAGGGAGATAGGAAAAACATGGGTGACCGCGGAGAATTAAAAGTAGACCGCATAAAGCAACGTTTGTCACAGCATACTTTTTGTGCCAATCCCTTAAATTTGATTTAAACTTTTCCTCTTCCTCAAACTTTGAAGAGGTACACTCGTTATCATAATCAGAGTCATCATCTGATAACGGCGACTCCTCCAAAAGTTCCTCCAAACTTTTACCATCCACTACCAACGATTCTAAAATCTGGAAACCAAGTTCTTCAGATTGAAAACTTTTAGGATCAACTGAACTTGTTGCTTCCTCGAGAGATGAGGAAGTTCTGTTTTCTTGGTTTTCAAAAACAGATTCATTGTGAGTGACCTCATCAGCATTTACATCTGATGACAGTAAGACATGTTGTTGAGAGCTGAGTTGGGGCACATTTCTTTGCAAATTCAATTGTGCTCCTGGACACTGAACATAAGTTTGGTGATGATTTTTGCAAAAAAAGTTCCTTTTTTTATCTCTGCGGCGTTTTATATCTAGAGTACTTTTGCTTCTCCCCATTCTAGCATTGCTTTAGTAAGACTCGTCTTCTCTCACTTCAATTGCTCTGGGAAAAAAAAAAAATAAAGTAGGTAAATATGTGTTCATGATGCAACGTAGGAATCAGGGGGAAGAAAATAACTATGACACAAAATGAACAACTGGTCGGCCGCGCCATATCGCTGCTCTGCCTGTAATGTCGGGTCGAATTGACAACATGCTAAAAGCACCTCTAGAGTTCCCGATAGCACGTCTACAATTCTACAACATAGGCACAGGCACTGCGATAAGAAATGGCAGACCGATCATACTATGCAATTTGAACTGTACCTAAGTCCGCCCAACAAACACATTATCTCAATTATCGGCCTGCAGAGCGGGCTGTGTAATTAGCCAACTTCATTATACACTGATCTCATTTCCATGAGCAGGCAAATACTGAATAATGTCCTCACTTCAGTCAGTGAAGAAATAGGTATTCTAGGGTATCAAATTTTGATGGGTCGAGGAACAGTTTTACCAGCAGACTGTTTCCTTCGCTTTTCACCTGCTCTGATCGACGTTAATTCTCTACTTCCAATTGACCGGCTCTAACTTCACAACTTCTCGTGAACTTGCATAAGCCACCTGGCAGGGGGGAAAGTTATCCCTGGCTCAAAAATTCGGTTTGCCTATCATCATCAGAAGATGGGCCTAACCTTTAAGTGACATGAGTTCAAATAATTGATGGTACTACTACTTACCGAGACGTACACGTATCATACAGATAACACCCAAGATCTTCTGTATCCACAACTGTAACGGACAATCTACGACTGAGAAAAACACAAAACGAAACTCCCCATAAAGATGAA